CAACACTCTTCCGAAGTGGCTTAAAGCATCTTCCACACGTCTCCACGTTGGGTTTGTGGCGTAGAGGTTGTCTGTTCCCCTATTTGTGATTTATTGTCAATTTATCCCTTGTTGGCTTCAGTAATTTTACTATTTATAATATTTTGAATATATTTATAGTATTATATGTATGTATATATAATATGTATACAGTATGTTTATAATACTATATATGTTTATTTGTTCAAGTTTATGAGGGCGGTACTTATCGCCTAGTGGTGAAGACGGTCCTAGTGGGGTATAGTTGACCGTTGTTTGTGTCACAGGTCGCGGGGTGGGTGGATGCCACCCGTTGCCAGTTCCTTGATTTATAACACTGAATTATTTGCCTGTATCATCCTAAGGATTATCTGCTTATTTTCCGATTTGCAATGGTATTAACTTACTCTATTACCAGTTCCTAAACCCACATTCCCGTATTACAATACTGTATATATATTGCCAGTATATTATCACTGAGGGACGTCCCATACACTGGTAGGCCTCATGGCTGTTGTGTAAACACTGCGTGATGCCTCCTCCTACCACAAAATTACATTTCTATTTCTTTCTATGTGTAATTCTCCAACACTTTCCACATGTTCCACTTTCCACTCACTGTTACACGTTCCACTTCACTATTCAACGTATTACTGCTTGCTATATGTGATGTATATCGCCTATATGCACGTACCCATGCAGCTGGTGGCACTGCTCGCACGTGGTCCTACGCTTATTCTTTATTTCACTCAAAGTTCCATTGTTAATTACTGTATTCAACTTTCCTACAAGTCACTATGCACTTCGTGGTCACTGTGGTCCGTAATCCATGGTTGTAATCCTAAAAACCCCGATTTATTTGAGTTTTTTCATGGAGCGTGACGACGACACGTCTGACCCCCTCCCTCTCTGACAGTTGGGTCAGAGGATGAATGGATGGTGGGGGGACTGGATGGGAGGATGGATGGATGGTGTGGGGGACTGGATGGGAGGATGGATGGATGGATGGCAGGTGAGTGGGACAAGGAGGCTGATGGGGGAACAGGAAAGAAAATCTTTTAAAAACTCCAGCCCTAGAATCATGTTAGGGAAGAACATGTGGAGGGCGACTGGGTGGGCAGGTGATAAGAGTGGTTGGATGAGTAGCAAGGCAGGCGGCAAAGTGGGTGGACAGGCGGGCAGCAGTGGTCGGGCAGGTGTCTGTGTGTGCAGGCAGCAGATGGTAGACTAAAGAGGTGGGTGGCAGGGCGGGCACAGAGTGGATGAGTAACAGGGCGGTCAGAACAGTGGGTGGGCAGATGAATAGCAGGATGGGTGGTCAGAAAGAGAGGGTGAGTAGCAGAGGCGGTGGCATGAGTAGGTGAGCTTCCGGCTAAGACTAACACAAGATCTGGTCACCCCCCCGTCCCTCCCTGCTACCTCCATCTCCTCATCCCTCACAATGCCTCCCCTCCACAGCAGTATCCCTCCAAGCCATATGGATGGTATTATTACGACTTCCTTGCTAGCAGCTGATTGATCAGGAGGCAGACTCCCTGAGTGCCTGACATTAAACTTATTGTTTATGACTGACTGGTTGCAACTGCAAATGCCTGATTGACTGTGAATGACTCTGAATGCTTAATCGGTTGCTACCACAACTGTGAATGCTTGACTGCCTTTGGTTATGACTGCCTGTGACTGGTCTTGACTGAATGCTTGACTGACATGTTGTGACTTAACCGACTGATTCTGACTGGCTGCCACAAAACAGAGGTAGTGAAATGTGTGAAAGAAAAGTCTGGAACCAGTGATGTGTATATGAAAGTGTTTAATGCGAGCAGGGGATGGCTCACCTTCTTCCCCCTCCTCCTCACCCTCCCCATACCAACACTGCTCCTTCCTTCCTCCTCAGACTCCCATATGCTAACAAGTCCTCAGTAAAGTACAGCCAAATGTTCACTTATTTTGTTTATGGTTTATATTTATACCTGATTGTTTTGTGTATGAAAAATCTGAAGTATTCTGTATAAAATGTATTTTTAAGTTAATATTTTTAGCTGAATGGAATGGATAAATTCAATTTACATTATTTCTTATGGGAAAATTCATTTCGGGTTGCGAACTTTCGGTTTACGAACCGACTCTGGGAACGGATTAAATTTGAAAATCAAGGTATCACTGTACTAATAATTGTGGTTTACTTATACCTGCTCTTACTATAATCTCTCTAATTATAGAGAGAAATCACATTATCATGATATATCAATGAGAAAATCCACAGGAGCGATGATGAGGATTCGAATCTATGCACTGGTTATTCCCAGATGCATGTTCTAAATGACTACGCCACGACATGGTACATGTATTGAAAGAGAGGCGTTAGAAATAGATCTACTGGACGACAGAGCCAGAGTGCATGGGGGAATTGTGTGAAACCATGGTTCGGCTTCAGTGGAAGCCTTGGTAATCATAGTGAGTGCAGTAGCACCCTAGGTTGCAATTTTTTTGACCATGTTGTGGCGTAGTCGTTTAGAGTGTGCATCTGGGAATACCCAGCGCATACGTTCGAATACTCTTCATGGCTCCTGTGGATTATCTCTTATGAAACATTCTCATTTGTCATCCAGCTCCTCTTTTCTCCATGTGTTGCTAGCTGGTGGACTCTAGGCATTTATGATTATCAGTTAATCATCCCAATTATACACTTCTAGTGCCATTATGTTAGCTGCTTGTGAGTTCTCAATTATTTATTCTCTTACCTTTGGGTGTACTTTCACCAGCATAGCAAAACCTCAACCTTTTCTCATTTTTCTTTCATCTCCAAATTGAGTAGCCCCTCAGGAATACAACCTCATTTAAAATATAATCTTCAAGTTTCATCTGTGTTAGCGTGACAATATCTGGCATGTGGGATACATGCTGCACTGTGCAATATTCTTTGATAACATCTATAACACTGATATACACATGATCCTACTTCTCTCAAAAGGTTATTTAACCCTTAAATGGCGCATGGCTATTTACCATTTGACACCCACAGGCGCATACAAAAAAAAAAAATCTTTTTTTCTTCCTAACCTGTTAATTTGTGTTCACTGATCATGGGAAAAATAATAAAAAAATTGTAAGTGGCATATATTGCCCACTATAGGGCGGGGAAGTCACCAGCTGTCAGGCCGGAGTTGCCACAAAGAGATAATTACCTAATTATTTCAATGTCTGATTGATTTTTCGTAGTTTTTTTTGCTGTAATATTATTCAATAGTGTGTAGTGTGATATATTTATATAATAAAATGAGTGAATCATCGCTGTACTCAAAAATATGGTGTGCATATTATTGATTCAATTATGTTCATCAAACAGTGAACAAATACTTTGTCGGTTATTACACTATATACACAGGTTATATATAAGTATCTGCATGTTTTGTTCACAATAACGAACCACTAAGTTGCTATTATGAGTCAAAAAGTAACGAGGAGTTACCGCCGTGTATCAGCTAGCCACTCATGCCCTCCCTCAACACCTCACTCGCCCACAATCTCCCACCATACTGTTTTTGCTTTTATTCACTATATACAGACGTTATATATAAGTATCTACATTCGTGTTCACCATAACGAACCACTAAGTTGGCATGCTGAGTGGCAGTGCCAGTGGCAGCCCGCCACTGGCTGCCACTCCTTCCCTCCCTCCCTCACCTCACCTGACTTGCTACCATTCTCCTCCCACCATACTGTTTTTGCTTTTATATATAGATGTTATATATAAGTATTTACATGTTTTGTTCACCATAACTGTACATCTAAGCTTGTATGGTGAGTAAAGGCACAAAGGCGTAGCTACTCACACAGTCAGCTGATGGCTACCGACCTCAAGGCCAGATGCACTAATATTTCTCCTCCAACAATACTGTTTGTGGTGTTATTGCGCTATATACACACATTATATATAAATATCTACCTGTTTTATTCACCATACTTGTACAAGTAAACTGGTATGGTGCCCAAAGATCATCGTGGTCACCAATAAACAACATGGTAAGTCCTGCAGACGACGCTTCTCCCTCACCAAAATGGCGGCTCCCAACCTACTACTCTTGCTGTTTATACCCTCTATACACACGTTATATATAAGTATCTACATTTGTGTTCACCATAGCGAACCACTAAGCTGGTATGGTGAGTGCAGTCAATAAAAGGTGGCCACACACAGTCAGAAGACAATGCCACTACCCTTCCCTCCCACAGCATTACTCCTCCCTCCATGGAGCACAGCGCTAAATATCACCACAATCCTGCTATTATCAGAACCCTGGTCAGTTTTATCACAGTCAGGGGTCTTCTGTAATATCATCATCGCTACATAATAGCATTAACAAGTATATTATGGCATTTTTAGGTGATGCTGTGGTCACAAGCTGAACGGCAGTGCTGTGAGCTCATGCTGCGTGCGTCAGGCTTGGTAGCTCACTCAATACTGAGGCCCCTAACACCTGAGAATTTGGCCCACGATTTTTCTAAAAAATGACATCTGTTTACAAGAGCCCTGATGAAGGTGTGGTGAACCCCGTGTATCTGCGGGCCGTTTAAATCTTGCGTAGTACTCCAAAGCATCATATGATGCGATGCACAATTTACTGCAAGTTGGTCAAAGCATCATATGATGCAAGGTGCATTTTAAGGGTTAAATAAAGCAGGAATAGGAACAGTAGTGGAGAAATAATCATTTGCCACTACTTTTCTTCCAGCATGGCTTTTCTTGTCACTATGACACTTAATTGTTGAAAGAGAGGAAGTCAGGGTAGGGAGAACAGGTAAGTATGAACCCACATGGGGGCAGAATTTGAACTCTTGAATATGATTTAGGTATATGACCTTCTGGTGGAGGTAGAATGTGTGGGTGTATACATACTGGAAAGAGTAGATGTTCTTGGAAGTTTTACTGCCTGCAAATTGAGTATTTTTGGAATAGTGTCATTCACGAATGAATACTTTACCTGCTCTGTAACTAAAACTTGCAGACGGTTAACTTCTTTCTCATCTACAGGACCATTCATATTAGGTGAAGCACCAACTGGACTGGTTTCCGCCTTTGCATCATTTCCCTTCTTCTTCTTCTTGTCCTTGCCAGCAGGGGCAGCGGGATCAGATCCCTGTGCAACTGCTAGCTGGCTCTTTAAACTAATTAAAGTTGCTACTTCAGCAGCTATCACATCCTTGCCAGCACTGCCACCCTCCTTCAGTTTTCGTACCTTGTTACCCTGTGGTATGAAAGGTTAAGGTTAATGTAGTTAAAGTAAAAAACCAGCGTTGAATATAATGAAACGCCATTTTCTGGGTGAGCCTCAGAGGCTCCTCTGGAGCTTACCGGGCTAATGTATTTTATATTAGACCGGGACATTAGCTATGGAGTTCAGACCTACCAGGGACCAGTGCCAGAACCTGGCCCCTTCAGAGAGGTTTCAGGAAGCAATGGCCCTGGAAAACCCCCATGTGGTTGGGGGTTTTCCTTAACTGCCATTGACCAGGGTTAGGCACCCAGAAAGGTAGGCATAACAAAACAAACCCTACATGGTAAGAAACTAAAACAAAAAACAGAACAGAGGTAGAAACTCCCTACAATCCCAAGGAAACAAGCAAACATCACACTTTACTGCCGCACCGCTCATCAAAGCAGCCCTCCCTGCCCCGAGGGAGGGAGGGAGGGGGGGGGGCCCGACCTTCACCGCGCCGGCTGCCTAGCATCAGTTCAGAAGCTAAGCTTCAACCAACGCGAAAAAACTGCCGACCGGTGGAAGGGAGGGTTGCCAGGGAGCCTCCGGGGCTCACCCAGAAAATGGCATTTCATTACATTCAATGCTGGTTTTCTGTGGGGAACCCCTATGGCTCCCTGGAGTTACATAACCAAAGAGAAAGAAAAGAAAGGGCTGACCCGGGTGGTGGCCACCACAAACTCCGCAACACGAAGTTGAGACAAGAGGCAGCAACCTGCAACCCAAAGCAACACAAGAACACACAGGAGCACACGCGCTCACAAAAGAATGGGCGGCCAGGAACCTGTGCGACTCCCAAATCCTCGCGCCCAAAATGAGCCCAAGACATCACCAAACACTGCAGTGAAAGCTGCAATCGTCTGAATGGTACGGGCGCAAAGATAGAGCGCAGGCTGGTAGACTTAAGACACCTGCGGACGACTTGGGAGACCCGGAGCCCCAAAACAGGGAACAAAGGGAACCGGATCAACCCAAAGCATATCCCCAGCCACGGCATGCAGGTAACGGCGAAGTCGCAACCGGACAACACATGATGCACCCCCGGCAGAACCAACCAAGCATCAATAACCCAAGGACCCCTCCGAAAAGCAGCACCGAGATGGCGACAGAGAGCCGGAAGCGCCCTGACCCGACCTGCAGGGGCCAATACCAATAAAATACAGTATGGCCTTTGAAAAACAATCTTGAACGAAAAGGGCTATCACAAACTCAGGAGAGGAATGATAAGAAGACACCCTGATCAAGGACGAGGTCGGCTCAGGCAGCGCATGAGGAAGCCGGAGGTGAAAACAAAACACGAGAAAGCGTAGGGAATGGGGCGGATGTGACGTCCACCTCGAACGCAAGCTGGAGCGGTTCCGCCAGTGCTGCATGATATGAAGCAACAGAAAGAAGCATCCATTAACAGTCTTGAAAACCCAAGAAAGGACAAGACAACCCAATGCGAAAGAGAAAACAACCTACGAAGAGCAAGAAAATGGTGAATAGAAACGCCAGGAACGTTATACTGTCCCCAAGACGAAGCTCGCAGGTGGGACACCATCCATGAAGCCACCTAATCATCATAGAGATGGCGATACACCCGCGTCAAAAGACCAGACCCGAACAGTCGAGGAGAAGCCCGAACCAGTCACGTACAGGACCGGTGTGACCTGCCGAAAGAGACGGAGCCGCGGGAAACACCCCGGGTTCGGACACCTATCATGCAGCGTCTGAAAACAAAGCTGAGTCGGCCACCAAGGGACCATGAGAACTACTCTCCTTGGGAAGGACTCAAGCCAGAACCTGAAGCAACAGCTGGACCGGGAGAAAAGGAATAGGTAACTCCACCTCGACCAGTCCTGCTGAAAGGTATTCACCGCGAACGCCTTGCAAGCGGGTAAGGGCGCCACATAGAATGGGAGATTCCGAGACCATGCAGACACGAAAATGTCAATGTCCAGAAGTCCGTATGTCCGGGAAAGTCAACGAAACGAGTCGGCGACGACCGGTCAATTCGTGAACAGAGGAATGAACCGAGACAGGCCGTCCGCCAGGACGTAAGACACACTCTGGACATGAAACGCACAGCTAGCCAAACCCCGAGAATCCAGCAGACGAGCCACTCGAAGGGACCAACCCCAAAGGACAAGGTTCTAAGAGAATCCCCGTGGTTCCGGCAATGACCCACCGGAGAACAGTCCGAATGGAGCCGGATGGTAGAGTCCCGAGTGACCTGAACCCTCCGAAGCGTAAACTCGACAGCCACGAACTCCCAAACCGTGCTGTGAGCCCGACGGACAAACGAACCCCACCATCCCCGACACAAAAAGATCAGCCTGCAAGCCAGGAAGACCCTGGAACCTCAGATAGCTGAATCAGGTCACAACAAACGAGGTAACAAAGCCCCGAACCCACAAAGGAGGCCCAAGAGGAAGAAACATTCGGAACGAAACCAAAGAACCAAAAGGAACCTGAAATCGAACCTGGGGAGAGCCCAAACTACCACATTTGCCAGCGGAATTGCAACATAGAAGGACAAAGCACAGCACCCAGACAGAACACCCAGGGAAACTCAAAATAGACTGAAAACCGAGGGACAAGGTGTGGGAGCAAGCATAAACAGACAGGGACACTGTGCCCAAACTCTAGGGCCCAGACCCAAAACAGACTGAAAATGCAAAAACCGGTGTAAAAACCAACACCCAAGCATGTTGAATACACCCAAACAGTCTTGAATATGTCTACTTATGTTCCAGAAATAATTCTTGCATTTGTTAATACAGTAGGAGATTTAAGAGCCGTGGACCTCTGACATTCATACGACGACATCTGTGCCCATGGCACCTGTACTCTTCACTGGGTCTATTCTGCACTTCCTATCATAACTTTCACTCAGAATGTTGTTATTTTGCTGTGAATATTTGGGACACACACACACACACACACACACACGAGAACATAGACCCAACACAACCTATATATTATGTGAGAAATCTTTAAAGAATTCTGATGAAGAAAGAGATCTAGGGGTGGTTCTAGATAGAAAACTATCATCTGAGGACCACATAAAGAATATTGTGCGAGGAGCCTATGCCACGCTTTCTAACTTCAGAATTGCTTTTAAATACATGGATGGCGATATACTAAAGAAATTGTTCACGACTTTTGTTAGGCCAAAGCTAGAATATGCAGCGGTTGTGTGGTGCCCATATCTTAAGAAACACATCAACAAACTGGAAAAGGTGCAAAGACATGCTACTAAGTGGCTCCCAGAACTGAAGGGCAAGAGCTACAAGGAGAGGTTAGAGGCATTAAATATGCCAAAACTAGAAGACAAAAGAAAAAGAGGTGATATGATCACTACATACAAAATAGTAACAGGAACTGATAAAATCGATAGGGAAGATTTCCTGAGACCTGGAACTTTAAGAACAAGAGGTCATAGATTTAAACTAGCTAAACACAGATGCCGAAGAAATATAAGAAAATTCACTTTTGCAAACAGAGTGGTAGACGGTTGGAACAAGTTAGGTGAGAAGGTGGTGGAGGCCAAGACCGTCAGTAGTTTCAAAGTGTTATATGACAAAGAGTGCTGGGAAGATGAGACACCATGAGCGTAGCTCTCATCCTGTAACCACACTCAGGTAATCACACACACACACACACACACACACACACACACACACACACACACACACACACACACACACACACACACACACACACACACACATTGTGATACCTCTCTCATCTATTTTTCCTGAAAAATATACCAACTAATTAGATACATTATATTTTTAATAATTGACAATTCAAGAATGAATACTTTACCTGCTCTGTAACTAAAACTTGCAGACGGTTAACTTCTTTCTCATCTACAGGACCATTCATATTAGGTGAAGCACCAACTGGACTGGTCTCCGCCTTTACATCATTTCCCTTCTTTTTCTTGTCCTTGCCAACAGAGGCAGCGGGATCAGATCCCTGTGCAACTGCTAGCTGGCCCTTTAAACTAATTAAAGTTGCTACTTCAGCAGTTATCACATCCTTGCCAGCACTGCCACCCTCCTTCAGTTTTCGTACCTTGTTAGCCTGTGATTTTAAATATTTTTAGTTTAATAACGTAAGTTTATGTAAAACAAAAATTTTCAATTCTATAAAAATAACACTGATCCTTGATGTAAAATACATGCCTAGTAAACCACGTGCAGAGCATACTTGCATATCAAAGTTAATTTCAAACAAGTAAACAAATATTGGGTTTCAGAACACACACACACACACACTCTCACTCTCTCTCTCTCTCTCTTTTTTTTTACAACTTGTGCATACGTCTCCTTAATTTCCTCTTCGTACTTTTCGAGTTCTTTATTAACCTCCTCTATGTAGATAGGGACCTGACAGCTGAGTGGACAGTGCTCGGGATTCGTAGTCCTGAGGTTACGGGTTCGATCCCCCAGTGGAGGCAGAACAAACAGGCAGTTTCTTTCACCCTTATGCACCTGTTACCTAGCAGTAAATAGGTACCTGAGAGCCAGACAGCTGCTTCCTGGGGGATGTGTAACAAAAAGGAGGCCTTGTCGAGAACCGGGCCGCGGGGACGCTAAGCCCCGAAATCATCTCAAGAAAGTATGACACTAGAGATTTGTTGAATAGCAGAGCTATGGGTGGCGCAAGAGCAGGAACAACACTCTTATATATCACAGATGGTATTTCATTAAGTTTTAAGTGATTGGGTGTAAGTGAGTAGTTTTAAGTACTTGAATTATGGATACAATGTCTGTCGGGCTGACTGGTAAATGGAGTAGAGAGTTAGCTGCCTGTGAGATATGTAGTAACATGTGTCTGGGTCTCTGGGATTTTTATAGCAAGGTTAGCATCAATTGATGAAAAGAAGCTATTGAAATCAGTTGCAGTATCTAAGTCTGTTGCAAGTGTGTATCCATCTTTGTTGAGTCTTATCTGCTTGTTATGTGATTGTTGTTTTGACCCTGGCCCTTAGGGGAGCCGGTCGGCCGAGCGGACAGCACACTGGACTTGTGATCCTGTGGTCCTGGGTTCGATCCCAGGCGCCGGCGAGAAACAATAGGCAGAGTTTCTTTCACCCTATGCCCCTGTTACCTAGCCGTAAAATAGGTACAGTACCTGGGTGTTAGTCAGTTGTCACGGGCTGCTTCTTGGGGGTGGAGGCCTTGTCGAGGACCGAGCCGCGGGGACACTAAAGCCCCGTAATCATCTCAAGATAACCCTAGGATATTAGAGATGGTCACCACCCGCAGTGGTGACCATCGCATCACCTGGCGTGGCTCCATCTCTCATTGTAACAACTGCACCTGTTGTTGTTGTTGTCTTAGATTTAGCTACTCAGAACGAAATGTCTGTGTAGCATGGGCTATAGTGAGCTCGTAATTGAGTTTGGTTATTCGCAATAACCTTGTTACTCTAATATTTGAATCAAAGTTTTCAATGGCGGTGGGGTTTCCTCCTCTTCTCCCGTTTCTTTTTCGCTCCTGTTTAAGTGCACTGGTTTTAGTCTTTTTTTTTTAATAACATTATCTTGGTGGCGGATGTAGGTGCAGAATGTTTATTAGTGAGTCCCATTCTTCAACGGCTTTACTAATCATTGTAGTCGCTAAGGATTTTGCATCTATTACAGCTGCTGTCGTTGGATTAGTTTTGAGTTTGATGCGCAGGGCTTCAGTTGCTTCACATTCCAGTAAGTAGTGCAATAGCGGTGACTCTTCATCTGTTGCACAGATATGACACACTTTAACTACTGGGTTTATTACCTCCCAGCAGCACTTGTAACCAAGTCTGAGTCTGTGTATGGCTACTGCAATGTCTCTGGATATCTTTTTGTCAGGCTTCAAAGAGTAGTACCTAGTGGCTTGTTTATACCATATCGCAGTGGATCTTTCTTCCCCTACTTTGGCTCTGTGGCTCTTTTAATAGTTGGGAGTATCTTCTTCTTGATTTGCTCCTTAATCTGTGAAAAACTTGGAGGTATTTGAACCTGTGCAACAGGTGGAGAGCTGTGGCAGTTTTGCTTTTAGCATTCCACAGCCTAATGAGTTGAACACCTAAGGAGTAATGACATAATAATGGACAAACAGTATGGTTTTTGAACAGGAAGATCCTGTGTAACAAATCTGTTTAGTTTTTATGATAGAGCCACAGAGATACTACAGGAAAAGGTGGCTGGGTTCATTGTGTCTATCTGGACATAAAAAACCAGCGTTGAATGTAATGAAACGCCATTTTCTGGGTGAGCCCCGGAGGCTCCCTGGAGCTTATCGAGCTAATGTATGTTATATTAGACCGGGACATTACCTAAGGAGTTCAGACATACCAGGGACCAGTGCCAGAACCTGGCCCCTTCAGAGAGGTTTCAGGGAGCAATGGCCCTGGAAAACCCCCTAGTGGTTGGAGTTTTAATTAACTGCCATCGACCGGGGTTAGCACCCAGAAAGCATAACAAAACAAACCGCACATGGTAAAAAACTAAAACAAAAAAAACAGAGGTAGAAACTCCCTACAATCCCAAGGAAACAAGCAAACATCACACTTTACTGCAGTGCCGATCATCCGCGCAGCCCTCCCCGCACCGAGAGGGGGAGGGGGGGAGCCCCGGACCTACCACACCGGCTGCCTAGCATCAGTTCGGAAGCTAAGCTTCAACCAATGCGAAAAAAACGCCGACCGGTGGGAGGGAGGGTTGCCAGGGAGCCTCCGGGGGCTCACCCAGAAAATGGTGTTTCATTACATTCAACGCTGGTTTTCTGCCCGAGCAAGGTGTTGCTAACCTGTTAAACACCCAAAAATAACAAGGGGGTAGAGGGACAACACTGAAAACCCCTGCGACGTGTACAATCACGGGGGGCCTAGCGGAGGGCCACCAAACACTACCAGTGGAACTATAGCCACACTAGGCAGACCCCCACCAGGCAAATGAAAATAAAAACAAAAGAAAACCCCCGCAAAAGTACACCGTCTCCATAGGCAACAGGAACCGGTCGCCGCTTAGGTGGCAGGTTGCGCAACACCTTGACGCCCTAACCAGCACAATACCAGTCACTTCCCAGGGCCAAACAAGAGCCCCAAGCCCCAGCTGGCTTCAAGGGCGAGGCAAATGCTGAGCAGCAAGAACCTCTATGGGAATGGTTCCCGAACACCCCAGGGAAGATAACCCTGTCACACAGAGGCAGTACTCACAAGGAGCTTAGGGAAGGAAGCCCCTAAGTGCATGCAGCTCCAGCACAGATGAGGTACTCCTGGCCACCGCACAACACAACACACAGCAGTGAACGCCACACAAGGCAAACACCGCCTAGGAAACTGAGGCCAGAGAAGCGTCTATCCTGGTTGACATCAGCTTACGAACTGATGCTAGGCAGCCGGCGCGGTAGGTCCGGGGCTCCCCCCCCCCTCCCCCCCTCAGGGCAGGGAGGGCTGCGCGGACGATCGGCGCAGCAGCGAAGTGTGATGTTTGCTTGTTTCCTTGAGAGTTTCCTTGTAGGGAGTTTCTATCTCTCTGTTTGGTTTTTTGTTTTAGTTTTTTACTATGTGGGGTTTGTTTTGTTATGCCTACATTTCTGGGTGCTAACCCTGGTTGATGGCAGTTAAGGAAAACCCCAACCACAAGGGGGTTTTCCAGGGCCATTGCTCCCTGAAACCTCTCTGAAGGGGCCAGGTTCTGGCGCTGGTCCCTGGAATGTCTGAACTCCTTAGCTAATGTCCCAGTCTAATATAACATACATTAGCCCGATAAGCTCCAGGGAGCCGTAGGAGCTTCCCACAGAAAAGGCTGTTCTGGAAACTGGAACATGCTGGAGGGGTGACAGGGAGACTTCTGACATGGATGAAAAATTTACTAACTGACAGACAGATGTATCTGACAGGATGAGTGTTACTAGCGGAGTACCACAGGATTCAGTTAATCTTCTACATAAACGATCAACCAAAAGGAACACAGAATTATATGAACATGTTTGCACATGATGCTAAGTTACTGGGGAAGATAGGTGTCACAAACGATTATAATGAATTTAAACTGATCTAGATAAAATAAGTGCTTTGAGCGTCAAGTAGTAATTTGAATTCAATGTGAATAAATGCCATGTTATGGAATGTGGAATTGGAGAAAATAGACCACACACAACTGACAAATTATGTGGAAAGGAATTACAGAACACTAATAAAGAACAGGATCTAATTATTACAACACTAATAATTATGCAAAGTATCTCGCTCTAACAAGAATGTTGGACAAACTGGAAAAATCACTATCTGGATAGTGCTGATTGTAATAGACTGTCTCCCCCCAATAAACAAAATTAGGACTGGTTGTGCCAATGAATGCAAACAAATTCCAAAAAATTGATTTAACAAATTAACACTTTATTTCACATGTGAATTGCACTAATGAAAATTGTGACAAAATAATAATAAAAAGTAACAAACAATATGAAAGTTTGATGCACTGTGAGGGTCTCTCTAAACCCTCATTCATGATATCAGTTTGTATGCCTAGTAATACATTGTTTAAACAATAACGTAAACTAAGTTATCAAAAAGCTTTGCTATCAACATTCAGAATTTTACATTCTCTTACCTGCTCTTGGACAAGGCTCTCCAGACGGCATACTTCTGCTGGATTAACCGGCTTCTTTTCTGGCACAGCCTGACCAGCAAATTTCTTAGCTAGTTTCTGAATCATTTCATCATCAATGGGAGTGATGAGGGGTTTTGGTTCTTGGATGACATGCCCAGTAGAAAGAAATTGTGTAAATAAGCTAGGAAGTCCCTGTAATTGTGGAGGCTTATTCAGAAAAACTTGGATGTGTTCCGCAGTGTTCGGCATGTAAGGACTCAAAATTACAGATACAAGAGCTACAATGTTGGCTGCAATAGCAGTCACTGTGGCTCCACGTTCCCTGTCTTCTGCTGATCTATCAGGCTTAATAAGTTTGTAGGGTTCATGTTCCTGAATGTATTGGTTCCCAATCCTTGTTATAGATAAGATATGCCTTAACCCATCTCGTTGACGATTATTTCCTAGAGCTGTTGCATACAACTGGAGCTCTTGATTAACTGCAACCATAACCCGAAAATCTGGTTCAGTGGGTTTGGCTGCTGGAATGGCCGATCCAAAAAATTTAAACACAAAAGACAGTGATCGATGGACAAAGTTTCCCAAGTTATTGAGAAGTTCACTGTTGTTCTTCGTTTGCAGATCAACCCAAGAAAAAGCCGTGTCATGAACCTCTGGTCTAAGATACAAAAGATAAAATCTCCAAACATCACTAGGAATCCCAGTATCCATGACTTGGTCACCAAACACGCCCACACCTCGACTCTTTGAGAATTTGCCATCCTCATAGTTGAGATATTCAGTAGCAATCAGATTATTGACTATAGTCCAATTGTCACCACTTCCCAACTGGGTTGAAGGGAACACAACACCATGGAATGGAACATTGTCCTTAGCCATAAATTCATAGTACTGCACATGACTGGGGTTCTTCCACCATTTCTCCCATTGATCAGTATAACAGGCAGTAATGCTTAAATAACCGATAGGAGCATCAAACCAAACGTAGAATACTTTATCCCTGAAGCCATCTTTGGGAACTGGAGTACCCCACTTCAAATCACGAGTGATGCACCGAGTTTTGAGCCCATCTCTTATCCAAGAGTCACAGATAACTTTTGCATTATTTGTCCACTGCTTGGAAGTTGTTGCCAACCACGAACTTAAGTCAGGCTCAATTGATGGCAAGTCCAAAAAAAGATGGTTAGAAGACTTAACTTCAGGTAGACTAGAACAGAGCTTACATCGAGGTTTTACAAGCTCCATGGCATTAATTAACTTCCCACAGCCATCACACTGATCACCTCTAGCATCTTCATATCCACAGCCTGGATGAGGACATATACCCTCTACAAATCTGTCGGCTAGAAATCGTTCACATTTCTTGCAATAAAGCTGTTCCACCGACTCTTTAAAGATTTTGCCATTATTATCTAGCTTTGTGAAAATATCCTGAGCAATCTTTGTTTGCTGTTCTGTTGTTGTACGCCCAAAATAATCAAAGCTGATATTAAACCATTTGTAAACATCAGCATGGATGACGTGGTATTTATCACAAATTTGTTGTGGTGTGAGTCCTTCTGCAATAGCTTTGTTTTCCGTTGCTGTGCCATATTCATCTGTCCCACAAATATATAAAACATTATCACCTCGCAAACGACAAAACCTAGCAAAGCAGTCGGCTGAAAGGACGCAACCAATAATATTTCCAAGATGAGGTACATTATTAACGTAGGGAAGAGCGGAAGTAATAAGAATGTTGGTTTCTCCTTCGACAGGAAGCACAGGAGCTGGATTGGGTGTCCGCAGTGTGTTGGCAGAAGGATGTATCCAAGCTGACTGAGCTTCTATTAACTGTTCTCTTGATACTGCTGCACGTGCTGACTTATTCTGCAAGAAAAAATAAAACCAGCATTGAATGTAATGAAACGCCATTTTCTGGGGGATGACCCGGGAGTCTCCCACGAGCTATACCGGGCAGATGTGTTTATATTAAACCATAGCAACAGTCAATTGATTGAGTTCTAAGTCTACTGGGGACCATGAGACAGAACCTGGCCCCCTAGAGGCACGAGGTGCAATGGCCTATAGACACCCTTGCGTGGTTGGAAGCAGTCTATATCTGCCATCTACCAGGTCAGGCACCCAGAAAGGTAGGAATCCCAAAACAAACTACAGCTGGTTAAAAATTGCAAACCAGAAGCCGAACGAGCAAGCAGAACTCCCCAATCAGACAACAAGTAAACAAGCATGACATCACAACAGCCACCGCACCGCTGTCTGCACAACTCCCACCCACAGGGGAAGCCCCAGGCCCCTGTGCCTGCTACCCAATCCCATTTCAGTAACTGAATATAAAAAAACGCCGACCAGAGGGAGAGCCTCTGGGTCTCGCCCAGAAAATGGCATTTCATTACATTCAACGCTGGTTTTCTGTGGAGAGCCCCTTCGACTCTCTGGAGCTACCTAACCAAAGATAAAGGAAAAGAGGGACTTACCCGGGAGGCAGCTGGCACTCACTCCTCAACTCAAGTCGAGATAACTGGCTGCAACCTGCAACCCACTACTACACAAACCCGAGAAGCACCCGGAACATTAACAGGGTACAGGGGCACCTCGACTTACTACTGCCCCAACTTACGATAATTCTGAGTTACGATAAAAATTTGACTGGAAAATGCAACTCGACTTACGATAGTGCCTTCGACTAATGATATTTGTTGATACACGTTCGGGTCAACCGAGCTCATGGTTCCCGGTCACACAGGCCAACCTGCCTCAGTTTACCAGAGTGACTTCTGGTAAACAGTTTACCCGCTTAGTGACGATCATGCTTATAAGAAATTCTATTTTTTTTTTGTGATTTTTTGTTTTTTGAACATAAAACTGATTCTTATATATCATGCCATGAGTCCCAAGAAAGTCAGTGGTAAGGTTCAACATATGAAAACACATGTAAGGATGACCATAGAGCAAAAACAAGAGATCATTCGTAAATATGAAGATGGTGTGCGGGTTGCTGAACTAGTTAGGCAGTACAACAAATCTCAGTCAACGATATCCACCATACTTGCTAAGAAAAAGGATATTATGAGTGTTAAAATGGCAAATCGTGTATCAATAATCACGAAACATAGAACACAAATACTTGAGGATGTTGAACAGTTATTATTAATTTGGATACACAGCAAGGAGTTAGCGGGTGATAGAGTTTCAGAGGCCATCATTTGTGAAAGAGCAAGGAAATTGCATGAAGACCTTTTAAAGAAAACCCCTGGAACGAGTGATGCAGATACGAAAGAGTTTACGGCAAGCAGGGGATGGTTTGAGAAATTTAGAAAAAGAAGTGGCATTCATAGTGTTGTGAGCGTTGTGTGCTGCGAGCTGCCGGAGGAACTCAGCGAAGAACAGACCACCGAAGAACTTCACAAGGAGCAGCAACAAGAGACAGCTGAGGAAATTTCTTCAGGGGAGGACGAAACAGTACAGAATGTCCCTTCCTCATTAATTAAGAAAATGTGTGCAGCATGAGAAGAAGTGCAAATGTTTGCAAAAACGACTCACCCAAATCACAGTGCAGTAGGCCATTGCCTTAACCTTTTTAATGACACTGTGATGCCTCACTACAGACAAAAATTAAAATGTATGGCAAAACAAAAGTCTATGGATAGGTTTTTAGCGAGACAGACAAGCAGTGAATCACAACCAAGTCCTAGTGGTATGTAGGCAAAACGTAGGAGTGTGTGTACCCCAGAGAAGTCATCACTGCCTGATGTTATAATGGAAGGGGACTCCCCTTCCAAACAGTAACACCTCTCCTCTTCCTCCCCCCTCCTTACCATCTCCCTAGGTAAACTAGGGAGACAAAACACCAAGGTACCCAAAGGGCAGCCAAAAAACCGAGCAGTTAAATGGACCCACAGAGGCAGATCCCAAGGAACCTGTGGAAGGTAACCCCCAAGCTCCAAGGGCAGTACTGTACTTACAGGGCACCTAGGGAAGGTAACCCTAGGCACATGCAGCCCGAGTACTGAAGAGTAACTCCTGGCTCTCGCACCTCTGGAGAACAGCTGCCACACACACGGCACAGCGCCGCAAAAGCTTGGAGCCAGAGCACACAACCGCTGCCTATAGCATCAGCCTCAAGAACTGGGGTGTAGTTCTTGAGGCTGACTCCCCCTTTCCCCTTCCTCCTTCCAGGAAGGGTGGAAACTGCACAGACGGCGGCGCAACAACGGGTGACATCATACTAGTTTGCTCGTCTTTGTTTGGGGAGTTCTATCCACTTGTTCGGCTTTTGGTAGCAATATTTTCTCCAGAATAGGGGTTTGTTTCGAGATGCTTACCTTTCTGGGTGCCTGACCCAGTCGATGGCAGACATAGAATGCTTCCAACCATACGGGGGCTTCTATAGTCCATTGCTCCCCTTGCCTCTCTGAGGGGGGCCAGGTTCTGGCTCGTGGTCTCCAGTAGGCCCAAAGAATGTCAGACTTTGGCATCAGTCATACAAATGACTGATGCAAAAGTCTGACGTTAGCATATCAGCCTGGATAGTTTCGGGGCTCCCCCCAGAAAAAATTATTTAATATTTCAACAATATCACAACACTTTGTTACTATCTTATAACATGTTTTCATGATTTTACCTGTTCAGGTGGAGTTGATGCTGAGGAACTTGTTAATGGAGTGGTTGATGGAGAGCTTTTGAGAAGGGCAAGGGTAGACTGGACTGGATTATACGGAATGGGACCTTTAGCTATCCATGCCTTGAGGAAACTCTCACTTTTATACCATGATGAGACACACTCCTGAAAAGATGGTACTTTTTAATTCCCTTCACCTGTGTTGAATGCAAAGACATTTACAAATAGAATTATAGGTAGTGATACAGGGATTCATATCCTACAATTTCCACATTTTTTAAATATAAAATTTTAAACTCTATATGAAGACACTGTTTACTGAAGTAAACAAGTCTGTAAATACCATATAATATAACAAAGATCAAATGTCAGCTCATAATATCTCGTGGCACATTATATTATAGAAAACCTGTCACCTTCATTTTGTGCCTCCTCACATAACTCTCAAGGTTGGCTTATTCACACTCCTTACACCGTTACCTTGTGATGTTTTCGAGGCTCAATGTCCCTGTGGCCCGGTCCTCGGCCTGGCCTCGTTGCTGGACTGGTCAACCAGGCTGCTGGACACGGCTGCTCGCAGCCTGATGTATGAATCACAGCCTGGTTGATCAGGTATCCTTTGGAGGTGTTTATCAAGTTCTCTCTTGAACACTGTGTGTGTACAAGTTTTCTATTTGGCAATGTCTCTCAATGTGCCTGCACACATGGCGCACTCTGTCCTGCTTTATGTAAAGCTGTTCCCTGCACATCTAGACAGTGGCATGTAATATACTCCCTTGCTGCAATCCTGTCTGGCCCCATAATATTTTTTTTCACCCAACAATGCTGTGCTTCAAATGATGCACAGCATTGTTGGAGTTGCATGACCACATTGATGCAAAAGGTTTTCAGTGAGATTTGTTTGCAGTTACCATCGTATGTAATGATGAGTGATCATTGGAAGTTCAACTGTCCTGGACAAAGCCCTCAAAAGTAACGCAGATAATGGAGACTAGGTCGGCCGAGCGGACAGCACGCTGGACTTGTGATTCTGTGGTCCTGGGTTCGATCCCAGGCGCCGGCGAGAAACAATGGGCAGAGTTTCTTTCACCCTTGCCCCTGTTACCTAGCAGTAAAATAGGTACCTGGGTGTTAGTTAGCTGTCACAGGCTGCTTCCTGGGGGTGAAGGCCTGGTCGAGGACCGGGCCGCGGGGACACTAAAGCCTCAAAATCATTTCAAGATAACCTCAAGATAACCACCCGTTGTGGGTACTCGCACTGCAATATCAGTTTACCCGACATCTGTTCTTGGATTAACGCAATTTTTATTAAGCTTCCAATCTCTGTATCTCTCCCCCGCATATCTAATAATTCAGCTAGTTAGTGACCAGACCACTCTTCTAAAACAATCTCCAACCCGAGGTTGTCAAGTCAGGGAGTAATAATAGTTAATAGGTTTTGTATAAATTTATTTAAAAGATTTATTTATATAGATTATCTTGATTATCTGAATACTGTTAAACCGGATAACGGGGCCATCCGGACAAAATCACATCCAGATAGTTTTATGTCCATATCAGGATGTACGTCCATAGAATCTGGATAATTCGGAGGTTTGTCCAGGTACAAGTATACAGGCAGAGCTTAAATAAAATCCAGATAACTTTCTACCAGCTTGTCCATATCCGGACTGAAATCCGGAACCTGAGATTTTTACTGAAAACTTTCTACCAACTTGTCCATATCCGGACTGAAATCCGGAACCCAAGATTTTTACAGAAACGGAAGTCAAGCATCGGGCCATACTCTATTAACCCTGTATGGCTGTGGCTCAAGACGCATGGTATAGGTGGTGTTGGGGTGGGGTGGTTTCAAAGTAGGGGGTGTCGAGAGAGTGTGGGGAGAGTCGGGAGGAACTGCCTAGTGGATATGGGAGCATGTGGAGGGACCTATAATCTGTATTGTATACAATAACCAATAATTATTTTAGAACAATTCATCACAGTAAAAACTAAAGAAATAGTATCTAATATTATACAAATACAAATTTCTTAAAACTATGTGCACAGGCTGACTGTAACAAGATTCATCTTGGCCTCTCCCTCACTTCCAATTACCATTCTCTCCTCTCTACTTCTTCCTCCCCCGCTTTCTCCTCTTCCCTTTCTCCTTCCCTTCCTGACGTGCCCTGTCCTCCACGGATATTGGTGCCATTTGCCTGTCCCCTTCTTGGACAGTCGAGGATGTAGTTTACTGCTGTGTTGAATTACAGAGAGTTAAAGGGAGTTGAATTACACTCTTCCCCTCTCAGGGTTGAGCCAGAAGTCCTTTTTTTCCAGTTTTCATGAGAAAAACTCGCCTCTTGGATTTTGTACATCCTCATTGGCAGAGAAAGCCAGGACCAATGCCTAGTTCAAATTGATTGGATATAGGCCTAGAGAGGGTAGAGTTTTCTAGGGCAGGAAAGCCTGAGAGGTGGAGCCAGGACTCCACCTTGAAGGTGGAGTCCTTCCACCAAAACAAAAGTATATCACCAAAACATAAACAAAACCAGTATGGTTAGTGTGATCTTGCGGGGTGCTGAGAGAGGGTGGGTGATCAACCAGGAGGCCACAAACACCGGTTATAGAAGCAGAATAAAGGTATTTGTCCAAGTTCCCTGAACAAGTATTCCTGGATGGCCCCAAAGGAACCAGAACAGGCGGCCAAAGCCCGACCCGACCCAGCGGGTAGACCAGCATGGCGGAGTTCAAACTCCCCCACAATTGCTCGAGCAACCTCCGAGTGACCCGGGACTCCCCCTCAGGAACAGCTGAAGGAAAGACTGCAGCCGCAGCAATGCCGCAGGAGGAAGAGACACGGAAGCTGTCCAAGAGTTCAAACGAGGCCCAGCCAAGTTCGAACCTGGGACAGAACCAAATAGGACTACTTCAGTTCACCAGGAACCCGAACCCGGTGACCTGGGAAAGAATCAAATCTCTGGTGAGCAGACAAGCAGATTTGCTAGGAGCCCACACCAACCTGTCGACGAGGTAGACCAAAACCCAAACCCCTAGCAGACTCAGACAGGACACCACGACCCGAGTAAGATGCGTGAAAACGCGAGGTGCCAGATTCAGGCCAAATGGAAGGCAACAAAAGCAGCAAGTACTCCACCCCACCACGAAACCTAACCAGTCCCTTAACTGCGGATGAATCGGAACATACTAATAAGCATACCGGAGGTCCAGAGACACCGTCTAACTACCCGGCTCCAAAAGTAGTCGGACCTGGGACAGAGTGGTCATCCGAAAGGAGGGTCAAGGAATCCAGCGGTTCAGACGGGCCTAGTCCAGAATGCACCGAAGATCTGCATGGTCCTTTTTCGGCATTAGAAACAAGCGAGAAACCCACTTGAGGGACGAGGTTGTTTCGACCATGCCCAAGCGCACCCATTCCAACTGAGCAAAAGGGAAAAAGCCTGCCCCACCAGCCTAGAGGAGGAGCGGTCCAATGCCACCACAGGCCGGAAGACACGACCCGGAATGCCCACAAATTGTGGGACCAAGCGTGGACACACAGAGCCAGCTTCCCCACCAATGCCCCGTCAATAGGGCGACCCGAGAAAGGGCCGGCTGACGTGCAGAGCGAGAACTGCGCCGACCAGACGACAACAACTCCAAAGGAAGCCTGACACGACTCTTCCAAGAGACCCGAGAACAACCCCGGAGAACCAACAAATCCGAATGAGGACGGCAACTAACCAAGGCCGCTTGCAAAAACTGAGTAACAGCCCCTTCCACAAACAACTACAGACAAAAGGGGCAATAAAAATCTAAGAACCAGGGCCCAAGCGGATTCCAAGAAGAGTGCGAGGATAGCCCGACAACATACGAGGCGAGGCAAAAAACAAGACCCCCCTCCCAGAGGATCGACACAAACAGCTTCAAGAGAGCACCTGCTGCTCTGGTGGCCGAGGCTAGTGCCCCAGACGACGGCCTTGCACTCAACTCCTCCACATCCTCCGCAAGACAGTCCGAGGACACCTCGAGAAGGGAAAAATTGATGAGCAAGACCGAGACCAAATGCCTTCGAGTGCAAAAAATCCTTAGCCACCAGGGCAGTCGAAAGGGAGGGAACCTGTGAGTGCAGCTGTGGAAGGCCAATATTAAGAGGAAGCACAGGAGAGAAAAGGCATGCATTGAGGTGCTCAAAATCGCCCCTTAGTAAACCTGTAGAAGAATAGTAACCTCCTGCCATTCAAGCGTGCGGGTCCGACAAAACCCGTGCCACGCACCCCTGAGAAAAGAAAGGGCAGTCTGCCAGCCAGGAATACTCCGGAACCTCGTAACCCAATACGGGGAAGAAAAACCGAATTCAAACGAGGTCAGATTCATCACAGAGGCAAAATCCGGGTCACACAGGAGGTACACAGCAAGAGCCTCCGAACCTCCTTAGGTGAGATGCAGGAGGAAGAAAACCTCCAGAAAGAGGGAGCCGTAGAACCCAAAGGAACCTGGATCCGAACCCAGGGGAGGGGGGGGGAACCGACCTTAAATCAAATTCGTACAGCAGATCCCTGTAATAGCAGACCCTGCGACAAGGGTACCAAAACCCCAACCAGGATTAAAACGTGGGGGGGTCCAAAAACCCATAGACCAATGCCCCCCCCCCACCCCGGGAGACTCCAAACCAGGCCCCAAGGAGCCGTCCTCCATGCCCTCCACCCCTGAAGAAAAGGAGTCCAAGGGAAAGGCAGCCTACTGGGAATACCCAGAAGCCTTGGCCGGACGACTAGGCTTGAATGCCTCCATCTCTGTCTCGAATGGGGCAGCCCCCAGAGCCGCCCAAGTCTCATCACCATCTAAATCCTGCCCCAACTTCAAAAGCCTCAGAAGTTTAGGGGCTAGCAGCACAGGGAAGGGGGTAAAAGGAGCAGGGTGAACCACGCCTACCGGGCAAGGACCAGAAGGCTTGGACTGAACCAAGGTCAAAGCGACTTAACTCCCCCAGGTCCGGGTCCCTAAAACAAGAACAGGGCAGCCCCGGGAGATCCGAGCAACCAACCTAGCACTTTGCAACAGCCTATACCTACTATGCAACACACATGCCGGCTGACCCCCTAAGAACATCCGAAGAAGAATGAGTAAACTGAAGAACAAGCAGGGAACAGGTCTCGCAAGACCAGGGTCGAAGGTGTCATCGACCCAACAGGCAACATGACTGAGGCAAAATAGGTGATCGTCACCCTGAGATAAGGGCAACGAACAACCCTCAAACTCGCACACAGCGAGATAGGACCATCTCGTAAAGTGAGATACTATGACCATTGGTCAACAAAGCCCCAACAAGAGATTCCAGGGGCCCTTATTGGGAGCATCCCAACGGGAAACCCCAGCAATGGTGCTGCAAAGCCGGTTAAGCCCGAATGGTAATAGCAATACGACAACAAGGGAAAAACAGGGCAAACCAAAACCCTGTGAAGTGTGCAGGCACGGGGGGAGGGGGCCTAGAGGAAGGCTACTAAAAATAACCTAGGTTAGACAAATTGTAAGCCAGGCAGACCCCCCCCCCCCCAGGCAAGAAAAACAAAAAGAAAAGAAAAACCCCACAATAGCACAACAAAAACAGAGGGGACAGAAAAATACGGCCGCCACTAGGTAGGCGAGCTGCGCAGCACCTTGCACCCCAACCAGCAACAAAAACACTTCCTACCCGGGGCCAAACAAAGGCCTTGAAACCCCAGTTGACCCCAAGGGCAGGGTCACCACCAAGCAGCAGAAACCTCTATGGAAGTAAGATCCCTTAGGTCCCATGGAAGATAACCCTGGAGCCCAAGGGTAGTACTTACAGGGTGCTTAGGAAAGAAAGCCCCAAATGCATGCAGACCCAGTACACTAATTTCCACTAAATACTCCCAAAATCATGGGGGTTTCCCTGGGCCATTGCTCCCTGCGCCTCTGAGGGAGGCCCAGGTTCTGGCTCGTGGTCCCTGGTAGGCAGAACTCCAATCGACTGAAGACCCAGACTAATATAGGTAATATCAGTCTATCAGTCCAATAGCTCCTGGGAGCTGACGGAGCTCCCCACAGAAAATACTATATTGGGAACAGTATTTTTGGTACTGAAAAAAGAACAGTACACGTACTGAAAAAATACTGTTTTTAGCACACCACGGGAATGTCATTATAAAAGGTGCACAGTGCAGGGGTTAAAGTATCTATAGTGAAACAATAATGTATTGTTACGTACTTTTGTTTCGACTACTTATCCAGACATGACTACATATCCAATCACAATTGGGCCCAAGGAATATGGAAGGGAGGATGTTGAGTATACATTAGTAAATTTCTAATCAAGAATAATTGGGTGTTATTTCAAAGGAGATCTATTATATGGAGATCTATTATTATATATAATATCTATTATATTCTAAGGCAATTATTATATGCGTGAAATTAAAGTAACATTTTATTTGCTGGAAAATACTGAGTAAAAGCCTAATGAGGTCTGATAGTATTTGTGGAGCGGTGTTGCCGTAATGTCATCGAATTTCATAGTGTTACCACATAGTAACAGCTATTCTATTATTTGGTCCTAAGCCAGTGTACCATTATTTTCAGTAATGGTTTATATTTTATAGTGTTTTTATTAATTGCCATCTTCACCCTCTATATTGTTTGCTTGAGGCTCGCTTTGAACATTGAGCACGATTAAGAAAACTTTATGCTTAGGCTGTTCACCACTGAAATGTAATTATCTGCCAGTAAGTGAAGTACAGGTACTGTAGTAGCTGGATTGGCGATCAAGGCTACGGAATTTTGTGGTGGGTAAATCAGCAGCTAGGAGCCCCGATCAGTGCCAGTGCCTGCAGAGATTGGAGACCTAGGAGCAGCTGGTTTTACTCCACTCTTTACAGGATACGAGACTGAGTGAACGACACTCTTCATAAGTGACTGAGGTATTCCTTTACATAGATATTGGCACGGAGGGAGGTTATCTTGAGATGATTTCGGGGCTTAGCATCCCGTGGCCCGGTCCTTAACCAGGCCTACTTTTTGTTACACCCCCCCCTGGAAGCAAGCAGCCTGTAGCAGCTGTCTAACTTCCAGGTATCTATTTACTGCTAGGTAACAAGGGCATCAGGGTGAAAGAAACTGCCAATTGTTTCTTCCTCCACCGGGGATAGAACTCAGAATCTCAGGACTACGAATCCAAAGCTCTGTCCACTCAACTGTTAGACCTCTCAAGTCAGGAGAGGCCAAAGCCTGTGATCACCACAATATGTAAATAAATTCATACCATTTAAGCATGTTTACTTACCTTGTAGTGTGACTGTTCCTTCAGAGTTTTGATAAAAGCCAAGAGGGATGGGTGATGCTCTTGAAGGAAGGTCTGACTTTTTGCCTCACTTATAAGAGGCAACAATGATGAGAAAAATACCACAGATGTTGCACTTAAGCCCTATAAATGAGAAAATATATGTACGACTTTATTGTGTTAAAACAAAATTTTTATTTAGGGCTACTGAGAAAGTAAATGACTTAGAAACCAATCTTTTTTTTTTCATTAGTTGGCTTCTGGTAACAATTAACACTGGGCAATATTATATGATGGACTAGCTTGAAGAAAAAACCCAGCATTGAATGTAATGAAAGGCCATTTTCTGAGCTTCAGGGAGCCCAGAGGCTCCTTGAAGGCCTCTGAAGGAATGAATGTAATTAATGTCTTCCCCCCCCCCCAGGGGACAGGGGGAGCCAGCCTGGGTAAGTCACCATCCAGTTCTTTGAATGAAGAAAACCGCTAACCAGAGGGAGGGAGGGAGGGAGGGTGTCAACAGTGCCACGTACAATGAAGACGGCAAGACCACAAAAAAAAAGTCCAACTTTGGAAGTACATAAAGCCATAGAAATGAAATGGCGACGACCGTCCCCTCTGTAGAAAAGGAACAAAGCGCAACAGGCTGGCCACCCAGATGTTAGACACTTCAGCATTCACTTGATTTAACGACCTCTTATTCAGCATTCCAGCTGTTTTATCGACCAGTATCTGGAGCCTTATATACCAGTCTCGTGGTCAATAAAGCCATAGGTCGGTATTTGGACTTAAGCTTGGCACGGGCGCATCCTCACATTGTAAGCGGCTACTGACCTCAATTGTCCAACCAGTCAAGTCTCAAAACCAACTAAACCCTGCCTCGACTCCAAAGCCCTCGTACGCTTCAGAGCCAGAAGCAGGAGGGGAAAGACCAGAACAAACCACAGCAGGGAAAGGACCAGGTGACGTCGACTGAACCAAAGTTGAAGTGACACACTCCCAAGTCCGAGTCCCTATAACCAAAAACCAGCGTTGAATGTAATGAAACGCCATTTTCTGGGTGAGCCCCGGAGGCTCCCTGGAGCTTATCGGGCTAATGTGTGTTATGTTAGACCGGGACATTAGCTAAGGAGTTCAGACCTACCAGGGACCAGCGCCAGAACCTGGCCCCTTCAGAGAGGTTTCAGGGAGCAATGGCCCTGGAAAACCCCATATGGTTGGGGGTTTTCCTTATCTGCCATCGACCGGGGTTAGGCACCCAGAAAGGTAGGCGTAACAAAACAAACCCCCACATGGTAAGAAACTACAACAAAAACCGAACAGAGAGGTAGAAAACTCCCTACAATCCCAAGGAAACAAGCAAACAAGCAAACATCACACTTTACTGCCGCGCCGATCGTCCGCGTAGCCCTCCCCACCCCGGGAGGGGGAGGGGGGAGCCCCGGACCTACCGCGCCGGCTGCCAAGCTCCAGTTCGGAAGCTAAGCTTCAACCAACGCGAAAAAACCGCCGACCGGTGGGAGGGAGGGTTTCCAGGGAGCCTCCGGGGCTCACCCAGAAAATGGCGTTTCATTACATTCAACGCTGGTTTTCTGTGGGGAGCCCCTACGGCTCCCTGGAGCTTCATACCCAAAGAGAAGGAAAAGAAAGGGCTAACCCGGGAGGCTGCCGCCACAAACTCTGCAACGCAAAGCCAAGACAACCGGTCGCAAACCTGCGACCCAAGGCAACAAGAACGCCCAAGAACAGACGCACATATGGATGGGCGGCCAAAAACCTGTGCGACCCACAATTCCCTGCGCCCGAAATGAGCCCGAGACGTCACCAACACAGCAGCAATTGCTGCAAACGTCTGAACAGCACGGGCGCAAAGACAGACCGCAGTAAGAAGGAAAACACTGTGGACGACCCGGGAGACCCGAGCCCTGAAAACAGGGAACGAAGGAACCGGATCAACCACAGCGCATCCCCAGGCACGGTACGCCGGCAACAGCAAAAAGCACAACTGGACAACACAGGACGCACCCCCCGGCCAAACCAAACAAGTACCAATACCCCAAGAACCCCTCCGGAAAGCAGCCGTCTCGACCGTTGCCAGGACAGAGAAAGGCTGCACACCAATAAAGCTACCACCAGTACCAAAGAGGAGGAAACTGAAACCGAAGGGGCTACCACAAACTGAGGGGAAGAGAAGAAGGCACCCTGAACAAGGACCAGGATGGCTCAGGCGACTCATGAGCAGGCCGGAGGGGAAACAAAACGCGAGAAGACGTAATAACCGTCATACAGTCTCCAAGACGAAGCTCGCAGGTGGGACACCGTCAACAAAGCCACCTGAACACCATGGAGATGGCGATACCTGCGTCAAAATACCAGACGCGAAGAGCCAAAGAGAAGGCCGAACCAGTCACGGACAGGACCGATTCGGCCTGCTGAAAGAGGCGAAGCCTCAGGAAAAATGCCCCGGGTACGGACACCTATCAAGCAGCGTCTGAAAAGGCCGGGCCGGCCACAGTGGAACCATAAGGACTGTTCTCGTGGGAATGGGCTGCAACTGAGCCAGAATCCGAAGCAACAGCTGGACCGGGAGAAGAGGTACAGGTACCCCCCACCTCGACCAGGCCTGCCGAAAGCCTCCACCGTGAAGTCCTCGCAGGTGGGAAGGGCGCCACAAAACGGGCGACGCCTAGACCACGCCGACCCGAAGACGTCCATGGCCAGGAGTCCATAAGCCCAACAGAGCCAACAAAACGAATCGGCGACGACTGGCCAACCCACGAAGAGGAATGAACCGAGACAGCTGTCCACCAGGACGCAGGACACACCCCGGACACGAACCACACGGTTAACCAAACCCCCTGTGGTTCCGGCAAGAACCACCAGAGAACAGTCCAAACAGAGCTGAATGGTAGAGTACCTAGTGACCCAAACCCTCCGAAGCGCAAACCAGACAGCCATGAACACCTGAACCGGGCTGTGAGCCCGACGGACAGACAGACTCCATCAACCTCGGCCGACCTGGTGAGCACTGGTCACAAAGCCCCAGCCGAGAGACGACCCGTCCGTGAACACATCGAGCGAAGGCTCGGGGAGCCGCCAAGGCACGGAACCCCGAAAACCCCAAAGAGGAAGCTGGTGACGCAGCACCAACACCAGATCCCCAGAGGAACCCAAGGAATGCAAGAGGCGGAAGTGGAGTCTCCGTAGGAACCAACCGACGCCGGAGCCAAACCCGACTCCGCGGGCAGACAAGCACGCCGAAGTGCAAACTCCCGCACAACCGCCCAAGCAACCGCTGAGCAACCCGGGACCCCCTCCTGAACAGCCAAAGGCGGGACCACAGCCACAGTAACACTTCTGGAGGGAAGACAATGAGGGGCCCAAGAGCCTGAAACAAGGCCCAGGTCCGAACCCGGGACGGAAACAGAAGGTAAAACCTCCAGATCACCAGGAAACCAAACCCAGCGATCTGGAAAGAACCATCCCCTGGCGAGCAGACAAGCGGACTGACTGGGAGCCCACTCCAGCCAGTCGTCGAGGTAGGCCAGACACCGAATCTCAGACGCAGACAGGGCACTAAGATCCGGTAAAGATGCAAAGAGTATACAAAGTGCCCTTCACAAAATAGGGAATGCAATAAAAACAGCAAACCTGAAGCCCCACCACCAAAGCATTGTATGACAATCATATGAAGACATATTATGACATATGACAATCATTATATGACAATATGACAATTATAATCAAAGCATTATATGACAAAGAGTGCTGGGAAGACGGGACACCACGAGAGTAGCTCTCATCCTGTAACTACACTTAGGTAAGTACACATAGGTAATTACCAACCGTGCTAGCCCCAGAAAAACTGGAGAGGAACGTGCCAAGAAGTGACCTGGAGGTCCAGGTCCACCATCCATGCACCCGGCCCTAACAGAATCCGAACAGGAGACAACAGTCCTCCGAGCAGGGCAGAGGATCCAGGGCGCAGACGGAAGTAGTCCAGAAGAACTGCAGACTGGAAAAGCTCATGACTGCAAAGAGCAGACGGGAAAAGCTCATGACTGCAAAGAGCAGACGGGAAGCCCAGAAGGATGGGGCGGATCGACCACGCCCCACGCACCCACGAAGAGGAAATGACGAAGCGCAGGGAAGAAGCCCACCCCGCCAGCTCTGAACCCCCCCCAAGGGGGAGAAGCCGTCCTCCGACGCCAGCAGAGGCCGGAAGACAACCCAAAGCGCCCACCAACAGCGGGACCAAGCGAGAGGCAACAGAGCAAGCTGCTCCCCCAGCGCCCAGTCAACAGAGAAGGGAACAGAACCCCTTCAGAAAGAAAAAGTACACTACCGAAGTCATGAGGAGAGACTACGGGAATGAAACCACACTTCGCTGGAAGAGGAAGTGAGGGGAGACCTGATCACCACATACAAGATACCCAAGGGAATCGACAGGGTTGAGAAGGACAGGCTATGTAACACAAGGGGCACACGCACTAGGGGACACAGGTGGAAACTGAGTACCCAAAAGAGCCACAGATAGAATTAAAGTTTTTTTTTTTTTTTTTTTTTTTTTTTTTTTTTTTTTGAGTGTCAGAATGGGAACGGGAAAGCACTAAGAAGTAATGTGGCGACTCCTCACACAAGTAACGAGGCTGACCCCATACAATGTCACATGTAGACATGACAGAGCCCAAGAGGCACAGGAACCGATACTCCCTTGGGAAAGAGTGATCACGTCCTGTTAGACATTAAATATGCTTTAAGATATCATCTAGAAGAAAATGGGGACATTGAAACAGTTGATAAACTCGATTTAAAGAGAGGCAACTATGGGGAACTTCGAAATTTTTTTAATGAGTGTAATTGGACAGAATTGTTGCTAGGCAGGGAAGTAAATGAAATGTATGCCAAATTTTTAAAACTATACGAGGAAGGCACACAAACATTCATACCAAAACAGAGATGCAGGACCAAAAAACAGGATTGGTTCGACAGAAATTGTGAGAGGGCAAGAGACCAAAAGACACAAAAATGGAATCAGTATAGGAAGAGGCCAAACCCCCAAACATACCAGCGATACAAAGATGCGAGAAACAATTATACAGCAGTAAGGAGAGAGGCAGAAAGAAATTTTGAAAAAGGGATAGCAG